ACACACACACACACACACACACACACATACACACATCATTTTGTCATCTCATTCTGTGTAAACAAATGATTCTTATCCGTGTGTTTACATTTCTTTTTATTTTCTGTTAGCTAAGATGGTTTGAAGACATGCAAAGGTATGTAACAATAATTTCCCATTACCCTCACACCCAATAAAATATTTCACAATGATTGATAAAAGCAATTGATAATCAACACATTTATCAACTGCATTAATCTTTTCGGTTCATTTAAAAATTCCACTCCAACTTATTTCAAAAGTCCAGTTAAAAAACAAAATGACAATATGTTAAGTGTAGCATATGTCTATTGTAGATATACAAAATAACAAATCAACATTGATAGATAACAATATTATTTAAGAATAATTAGAATCATTCACTATCTCTTTTTTTCTTAAAAATTCTTTATTTAAAATTTATTTGATTTCTTAGTTCGTTTAGCCAACTCGTAAGAATCAAAATAAACTTGGAATTAAATTCAAAATAGTACCTCTGTTAAACTATTTGGCTTAATTTTACCTATTCCTTCATATCATGGCTTAATTTTACCTATTCTTTCTAATTCTTACCTTCAATTCATTCAGGTGATTTTTGATGCATGACATTGTATGAATGTCATTTAACTGGTTTCATTGTTTTTAACAAATTTATTTTTCAAATCGTTCTACTCTTCAGTTCTTACTTTATTTCTCCTTTCTGTAAGTTAAAAAGAAATCAAAAATAAAAATAAAAAAAAGTAAAAACTCAGCAGTCTATCAGTCTTCCCAAACAGCTCCAAAGTTTTTTCATAATTTTTTTCTATTCATAAATATTGTACCAATCATTAAAAAAGAAAGCGAGAGAGAGAGAGAGAGAGAAAACTTTTAAAATAATTTTTTGGAAATATTTACGAATATTTATGAATAGAAAAATAAAATTATGAAACTTTCACATACTGAAATTGCTTTTCATTAATTGCTAAGCTAAGGAAAATATTTGATTAGTAAGTGAGAGAAAAGAAGAAAAATGATAATACTTGTTTTTTTTTTAATTTCAGTGTTTTTTATTTGTTTCATTATTTTGCATTTTTAAATAGGCGCATTTTCGAGTGTATATTTTCTTATAGAATTACAGAATAGAGAGAAAGGCAGAGTGGAAAAAAAAAAGGAAAGGAGAGAGTTTATCTGAATGAAATTATAAAAAGTTCGATTGATGGTGAATTTTCACTGTGAAGAAATTCTGCTCAAAATTTTGAAAAGAATTAAGCTTTGATTTCAGATTTTTATTTGATTTTTCGAAAAATATGCGAACTTTTAAAATTTCTCCAACCGTAAAATTTAATGATTTTCATACCTTCTCCCGCCAAAAAAACCGGTTTGTTACACACACACACACACACATACGTGCACACACACATGCATGTACACATACACATATAATATATGTACACACAGACATACACGTATACACATACATAAACACGCAGACAAAGTTACTGTATATGTAAGCAGTTAACAGTTGCCATCCATAAATAGTTTCGATTTGTATAGAAACGGAGATAAGAAATCGTTCAGAGAGCAACCAGATGCTATTGTAATATTATTCAATGACTTTTTTTTCTTTTCAAATATTTCGAACTAATTTTTAGTCTTATATTTGAAATAATCAAATAACACAATTAATAAGCGTACCAATTTAGCGGAATAATCTCTTTTTTTTCATTCAGATGAATTGTTGTTCTATGAAATGTCCTACAATTATCTTTTCAAACTTTTTTTTTTCTTTCTTTTTCAGTTATCTAGCAAGATTAGTTAACACTTTTTCAAATATTAGTTAAATTTTATTGCCATAAACTATCACTCTGTATCGAATAGTAATTAGTTAATGTCATTTCCAGTACAATATGCATTCAAAATAGTTTAGAATGACTTTTGCAAACATACTACGTTTGATGACATTAATGTAAGTAAATTTCAAATATCAATTCCAGCGAGTTTTTTTTTTTTAAAATATTATCTTATATGGATTTTTTGAATAAAATATTAATCCATGTAAATTTGAATTTTTAACAGTTTGAAATAGCTTTTTTTGCTTTTTTTTCACAAAGTGATAGAATTGCTGATGAGAAAACAGTGTTGCTCTCATATCTCTCACATTCTTTCAACCAACCCCCAAATGTAATCAATCTTTGTCGGTACTTTTTTGACAAATATTTTTCCATTCATTGCACAACACAAGTACATTCTGCATTTCTTTTTCATTTCACAATTTCTTATCCTTTATTTATTTATTTATTTACACTGATTGAAATAAATCCATCATATATTTGATTGAGTATTTTCCCGTACAGCTTTCGAATAATGCAATTATGAAACAAGAAAAAAATAATTTTAAAACATAAATTTGTGCTGGAGAAAAAGTAACAAAATGTATAATTTGCAGTTAAAATTCAATTAATAATAAATTTTTGTTGCTAAAATATTTTTCGTTTATTAAAAATAAAAAGCTCTTTTTTCTTTTTTGTTTCCTTTTTATCAATTTATAGGAAATAAAGAAGACGATGAAATAGAAAAGCAAAAAGCGAGATTGAGTTGGAATTTATCAATGGGTGAATTAGATCGCTTCTTCGAACAAATCAGATATTTGAGTCCGCGATCAATTATTCCTGACGAAAATATCGAATTCTCTGGTAACGATATGCTACAGCGTACGTCAAATTTTACACAATCTTCTACAAGGTATACAAATTTACTCATTTTCGCTTATTATTCCATTCACTCTACCACAAATTACAATTTTTTTAGAGTAGAAATATGAAACATTAATTTTTAAACAAAAATTGATATTTCATTATTGTTAAAAAAAATGACTAAACTTACTGACTAAACTTAAGGTAAAAGTAGAGGAAATTTAAAGTTTTTTTAGCTTTCACCCGTCCATTGTCCCTCCCGAATAATTTAATTTGCTATGCTCATCAAACATAGTATCAATTTTCGAACTCAGGAAGTTATTGTTGGTTTTTTCTGTCATCTTCATCATTTAATTTGGAGTATGTTATAAACTATATTGATTTTTTTGTGACCATTAACCAAGAGATAAGATAAGAATAAAAATTAAAAGAGTGTATGAACGAACAAAGTTAAATTATCTTCACGATAGCTCATTCATTTCTCATCACAGAACATAGGTTCTACTGATCTGAAACTTTTTTCCAATAAATATTTATTAGTTTTATTTCATAAAATAACCAACACAGAACAACCAACATAAAATAACCAACCAAAGAACTGATATAATGATTATTGGATCGATAGAAGAAAGCCTAAATTAGACCTTTATAGAAAAAATTCTTAAATATAATTGGAATTTATTGCAGAAATATTCCATATGAACGGATTATTCCCATAAAACTAATCGGTGAAGAATCAACAAATGTCAAAACATTGACAGCTCTAAAAGACTGGAATTCTTCTGAAACACCTGTCATCAAACGATATGTCTATGATCCGGGAACGATGACACATAGAGAATATGTGATGAAATTACAAAACGAGGAAAAATTATCAGGTGGAGAATATCCCAATATTCAAAATTTTGATGCAGGTAATGGATTCATTAATAAAATTTTTCATTAATTCCATTTTTTAGCCTACTTTTTATTTCGTTTTTTATTCTTTTGTATTCATTCCAATGAATTCAATTCTATCTTCCTTTTTAATTTTAATTAAAAAATACTGAAAGAAATTTGTATGATAAAAATACTACGGATGTGAATTTTTTTTAATGTTACAAAATTTCCCAGCGTTATCTAATCAGCATATGCATTTGCTACAATTAGTAATAGAATTAGTTGTGAATCAACAAATTGAATTCATTGGAATGAAATCAAAAGTATCAATTTAGGAATGTCAAAATTGCAAATTATTTCATTCAACTTTACACATTAATTAGATTATATATCAATGATGCTATATTTTGAAATATCGATTAGCTTCATTTAAACAGTGTCATCAAAACATAAGCCACATGAGACATTGATCAATGATATTCCGCAAGAGAATCGAATGATAAAGAAACAATTATTGTCATCAAATGAAAATGGAATTGGGTACATGCATATGAGAAGTAGCCCGCCACCAGAATACAGCACTGAAACAGTAGCTGTTATTCATCAATCGTCGAATAGGGACAGAGAAGGAAAAACAAAGATTAAAAAACGAATACCATCTGTGATCGATATGGAATCACAACAACAAAAGGTAACTAAAAATAATCAATTTGAATGATAAAATTTGTACATCAACAATCCTACCATTTCATTAATATTCTATTCGTTTTTCTTTATTGCATTTTAATATGCTGTAGCATATATTTTCCATTACTATGTTTTTTTTTTTTTGCTAATATTGCTAATAAAGTTTTAAAGAATATTTTTAATTTAAAAGTAGAACAGCTTTTGGAGAAATAGCTTATGTTTTAATTTGATCCTCGATTTTTTCAAGATTATGCAGAATTAAAAAATTAATTCTTTAGACATTATATCCGCAACATTCCAAATCAGCTGTTCAGCGGCAAATTGCTCGACGTACATCAAGCGGATCGGAACATTCTAAAAGCCATGGAGTACCATCGCAGCAGCAGCAGTCAGCAAAAAATCGTCAAATCAAACAAATTAAAAGGTTTGTCGTTCAATTTTTTAATCTTTCTTCTTCTTCATCTTTTGAATTTCTTTATATTTTGCTATTTATATTTGGTTTTTGTTGAAAATTTTCGAACAAATAATATTAGTTTCATGGCTTTTATGTAATGAAATGAAACTTTTTATTTTGCGATTACTATCATTGATCATAATTTTATCCTTTCATTGAAAAATTCACGAATTTAATTAAGATTGGAAGATGGTACCTCGAGCACAAGCAATGCTATTCAGAGCACAGCTTCTGAACGATTGAACGATCAAGAACATAGAAATTATGTGATAACACCGGAAATGAAGCGATCTAAATCACCGATTTTGATGCGGTTATTGATGAACAAAAGAAAGCGATGTCATTCTACAAGTCCCACTGCTGCACAAAAACAGTCAGATAGTAGCTTCGAGCAGCCTCGGGCATTAGAAACTAATGTTGATCAAAGCCTACAATCGGTAGTTATTTCAACTTTTTATATTATTATCTTTATATCTTATAATTGATTTTATACCATCCAATTCAAAATCATCGGCAAATTAAACAGAATAATTTGGCTGGAATTAATAAAGTGATTTTTCATAGCATTCTCTCATTATCAGGTGAGATTTGCTACGGCAGTAAAATATCAGTAAAATGAAGGTATTCTACAAAATTAATGAACTAATTAATATGATAAAATTCGAATTGAATTATTGAAAAATGCAATGTTTACAGCCATTGAGAAATTACGGACGATTGGTACATGAGTATGAGGTGGAGGAACGACCTCAGGATGGGACGATTCATTTATCGGAGGAAAGTGCTATAGCAGCAACAACTCCTCGACAAAATTTTCGTAATTTTTTCTCGTCATATTCTTTTTCTTTTTCACTATTTTACTAAAATAAAAAATCTTTGTTCTGTCCTGATACTAATTAATTCCAGTGGTAAGTAAAAAAGTTTTCATCTATCGGAATATACAGCTTGGCAAATTGAAAAACGCAACAATAAGTGACTGTTGTAAAATTCTATAAAATAATTTACTCTGTGCAACAGGTAGGAAGTTCTTTCAATCTATTATGATGTACCATCCAACGAACAAAGGTCCATTACAGGCTATGGTATTTATGGAAAAAAAGCAATTAGAAAGAAATTAAAAAATGTGACGTTTATAAGATGACACTATATGTTACTTGAAATCAAGATGACAAGACTTTACAAATATTACAACAAGAAATGTTGGAAATTAAAAAAATTTAAAACAACTTGGCGCAAAAATGTGCCTAAGAAAGTTGAATTTAAAAAGATTCGAACAGCGATCTATAATAAATGGCTCAAATGGTATTGAAAATTATTTATGAAAATTGGAGCAATCGATTTTATTTTCTGCTTGGTTTGGATGAAGAAATTGGAAAAATCATGCATTAAACGTAGCAAAACAGAGAAAATAATAAATGCAACCATTTTTGCTTAGGGTTCAATGCAATATCTTAGTCGAATAAAGAAAAGAATAGAGTATTTCATGCGGAAGAAAACTTTTGAAATCTTTTTTTTTTGAAAAATAAAATTAATAGAAAAGAAGAATGAATTTTTCCTTTTTTAGCAACACTTCTATCTTTGTGCAAAAACTTGTTTTTTTATTATTTCGTACATTCACTTATTTTGTAAATGATGGAATTAATTAACAAGGAATGAGGAATGAAAAAATTATAGGTACAGAAAAAGCAGGGATTGGAATGAAATCTGGTTATGGTGGTAATGAACATAATCAATTGTTTGATGCTAAACAGTTGAATCTCGAAGAAGGCCTTACACCACATCCATATAAAAAGGATCCATGGTTAATCACTTTTTTTTCCTGTTAAAGTAAATTAAATGGGAAAAATGAAAATATTTATACAAATATTTAATGCATTGCTAAATTATTCATAGCAAAAATATTTTATTTATTTTATTAACTGGCAAGTTGATAAAAATTGCTTTGGATTTTATCAATTTAATTGAATCTTGTAAAATGTTATTGAAATATACACTCTCCCAGGTAATGATGAGGTTTATGTCTGCACATTTTCAAAAGCACACGTACACATACATACATACATACACAATCACATGCAAAAGTAATGGTAGCAGCAAAACTTCCAAATCTTATTGATTCAAATTTCAATTTAAAATGCAGTTAACCTAACATTCTGAGTACCTCAAGAATAATTTCTTGAACACAGTCAATGTACAAATTTTCAGCATAGAAGTAGCAGTCGTAAATCGTAAAAAGGATTATTCGGCTGAGCGTAAAAAGAAACTGTTGAAATTGCTCTGTTTTATTTTTTGCCCAATTATTTGTGTTATTGCCGTTGCTGTTATACTTGTCATTCTTCTTTTCGTTCTTTGATTTTTTTTCTCGTATTTCACATTTTCAAAAAATTAGGTACAATTGATTTCCCTCTTAATTAATTTGCTAATCATTTTCTTTTCCATTTTGCAATCATTCTCCATCAATTCTCTTGTTCAGTAGCATCAGAGATGATTTTGTTAAATACTTAAAAACTTACAGATTTGAATGGTGGAACAAATAGTTTCGATATATGTGGAGAATGTATAGTACTTATCTATTGCTACTTTACATTTTCATTAAAACAAATTATGGAAGTATTTATTCACCTTAAAAATATTTAACAATAAAAATTAACGTTTGAATTAACAGAATGTAAGTTGAAGTATAACTAAGCGATCCTAAGATACCAAAATTCTAATAAATCCCAACTAATAATATTTAACAACTTCGAAGTAATAGTTCCATGATTATTAGCTGCAAATACTAAAATGCCAAATAAAATGCAAATACTAAAACACGATTCACTTTTACAAAATTCCAACAAAGAGTGCTGAAAATTTTTTCTTAGAAAATTCTAACAAAGAGTAAAAAATAAAAAGTATCGAAAAAATTGGAATTCAAAATTAATTTTATCAGATCTTCAATTTGTTTATACATCTTTTGAGATAGTTCAGTCTTTAGAATAAGAATTATAAAAATAGAATTCATAATGTTTATTGTGGGAGAATTAATGAAAATTCGCGACAAATGCCACTTAATTTTGAAAATTTCTAAGTGCGGTGCAATTTCAAAGTATAGTTTGAAATTAGAAAATTGGATAAATATTAATTTCCACAAATTCGATCTATCGCAGATCCAGCAAGCTTAGATTTTCACAGAAATCAGTTAAGCATCCAAACAACCTGATAAGATAAAATT